AGGAGAGGATCGTGGCCGCGTGGCCGACCCCACAGGCCTCGGATCCCAAACGTGCGGACGCCCCCCCGTCTGGCATGCAACCAAACGAGCCCCGAAAGAAACGATCTCTGGACCCTGGGGGCTCCGCCCGGGACGGTTTCCTCCTCCAGCGTAGTTCGATGACGGGCCCAGCGCCCAGGGTCCAGGGGAGCCAAAGCGCGGTGCACCACCTCAGGCCCCGTTTCTCTCAAGACCCGTCCGCTTTTGGGCGAGGGGGTGGCGTTGCGTGCCCGACCCTGGAAGCTCCAGATTCATAAGACAAAAAAAACGTGGACATAAACGTTCGGAATTCCGCACGCATTTCTTGGATCGGCGCTGGGTGACCGATCCAAAAAATGCCCCAAGGGGGTCCCATACATCCGGCGATGAACCGCCAAAGGCTAGAAGTTCCTCCTTTTGGTTGTTAGTATTAATCATAGTCGTGTCCTCTTCTTCCGCGCTCAACCAGCGAAGCGTCACGTCGTGATGGCAACCATCTGAGAACATAGCGAAATCGCGCTGCAGCGCCCCGTCAACCTCAACTCCCACCAGCCCACTGGGCGTAGGTGGTTTAACAAACTTTGTTTCCTCTCTGCTAAAATCCCCCCTTCCCCTGCTCGGGGGAGGGGTTTGTCACTGTTCCCTATTAATATACACTCCCTCCCCCAGGCGACTGGGCGCCAACTAGTGTCACTACGGGCCCCCCCCGACCATTCCTTGTAACAAAAACAATGCAAAACACACTCCGCCTCCAAATTTGGAGCATTCGCAGCGAACCCGATGCGGCCTCCCCCCACCATCCCTATCAAAAAACAAAACAAAGCACACTTGGCGGCGGCGGCGGCGGCTGCGGCGGGGGCAGCGGCCGCGGCGGCTGCGGCGGTGGCGGCGGCGGCGGCGGCGGCGGCGGCGGGGGGGGCGGCGGCGGCGGCGGCGGCGGTGACGGCGGCGGCGGCAGCGGTGGCGGCAGCGGCTGCGGCGGCGGCGGCGGACAGCGGCGGCGGCGGCTGGCGGCGGCGGCGGAGGCGGTGGCGGCGGGTTCGCCCCCAGTAGTTGCCCATCCAAAGACGACTGCTGAATATGCTTCTGCTCGGGCCAGGCACGGGTGCGACGTATGTGTTGGGAGGGCGGGTGGGAGTGAGCGAGACGGGTTGCGGGCGGGGAAGGAGTCTTGACCCCTCCCCCTTCCCCCTTCCCTGGGCCTGAAGGGGGTGGGGCGCGAGGTGTAAGAGCGTCCTTTTTGGTCTAAGAGAACCCTTGGGAACGCAAGGTGGCCTCCAAGATGGGTCAGGATACCTCAAAAGGGCTCAATAGAACTTCCGACGCACATCAGAAAAATAAACACCCAAAACGGCCCCAACACGGCCTTAAGTGCCCGCAAGGGCCTTTAAGGAACACCCCAAAAGGCAAACATGGCCATCAAACCAAAAGGAAATTAGATTTTGTGTGCCTTCTCGTTTTTCGCTCCAAAAACGGCCAAGGAGAGCCCCGAGAGGAGATCAAGAGGGCGACACGCCACCCCCAAGAGGACCATATAGCGCTCCAAGAGCGGCCAAAAAGATCCCCAAGACGCATTGTGTTAGCCTTCGGGGGGACCTGGATTTAGGACGACCCTCTTTTTGAGCCATCGGGGCCAAGACGGCCCAAAGAGGCCTTCCAGAAACCCTACCAAAGAGCGAGAGGACCCGAAGATTCACCAAAGAGCTCCAAGAGGGCCCCAAGAACCCCCCCCCAGACCAGCAACAACACCAGCAGCACAAGTTGCAGCACCAACAGCAGTAGCACCAACAACACCACCAGCAGCACCAACAGCAGCACCAGTAGCAACACCAGCAGCGGCACCAGCAGCAAAACCACTAACAACTGCAGCATTAACAGCACAACAGAATAGAGGAGCAGAAGAGGAGGAGGAACAGCAGAAGAAATAACCAGCATCGTCACCATCACATTGGCTCTTCTTGAACGACCCTGCGCGTTGTTTCACCGTGTTCTACTTTGGGTCCTGGACAAGGTTAACTGCTAAACCAACGCGACGGTGTGTTAGCGTTGTTAGCCAAATTGTCTTCAGCGTTGCGGATCAGCTTGTTGGCTTGTTAGCTTTGCTTGCTTTCTGGTCGAAGGCTGTTCCTCGTCATCCCTGCTGTCCTCGTTCCCGTTGTTTTCCGTTGTTTGCCGCCGCTCTCCGCTTCAAAACTAAAAACGCGGGAAAAAAACAAAGTTCCAGCACCGGTGTAACACTGGCCCGAAACAGGCCAAGAGGCCCGATGGCCCCAGGTGGGTCAATCGGCCTTCGGGTCCGCCCGCCAGCATTGGTGGCCACGGCGATGTTAAACCATGAAACCAACTGATTTGAAAGCATTGAATAGCACAGCTGAAAACACAACATGTAATAATCCTCGTTCTAAAGTCCCACCAACCTTTTGGGCGCAAGTGGTCTAACAATCTCATTTGTCCCTCTTCCATAACTCCCTCCTGCCTTTTTCGGGGGGGGTTGACCGCTCCCCCTACCCCCTTTCGTGGACCTGGTCGGAGGGGTACGATGTGGCAGAAGGCCCCTTACCTGCCGAGATGGTTCCGAGAAGGCCTCAACAATCCGACCGAATATCGCCTCCAATATGAATCAATATAAACCAACATGGCTCAAGAGCACTAGCAGCATGCTTCCAAGAGGCCCCAAGAGGACCACAATACGGTTCCAGGTGTTCTCGGAACTCCCACGGCGGGCCCCCCCGAGAGACCCCAATCCATCAACAACTTAACGAAGTTCAATGATGTGTGCTTTCTCGCCTTTTCGTTTTCGATACGTTTTTGAAGCCTCAACATGGCCCCAAAATGGCCCCCACATATTCCAAGAGGGGTCCAAAAGGCCCCCAAAACGGCCCCACGAGCGCCCAATATCGCCCCACGAGCACCCCAAGAGGGCCCCAAGGGGCGATTTCGATGGCCCTGGAAGGCGGGGGGGGGGGGGGGCAAATCGAGGGCCCCTCTCCTTCGATCGATGGTCTCCAAGACGGCCCCAAGAGGCGCCCCATAGCCCCCAAAAGGGCCCCAAGAGAACGCAAAGAGAACCCCAAGAGGGCACCATGACGGCCCTAAGACGCCCCCAAACCCGGAGATCTCTCGGTACACCTTGGTTGCTCGCTTTGTTTCCCTTGATGTGCCTCTTCGTCCCTTTTCCCATCAGCTCCCATGGGCACGGCTTCAGAATGGGCGGGTGGGGAGACTATTGATCGCGACCGCGGCTAGAGGTCGGGCGGCGTCAGGGGGCGGTGCAGACTAGCAACGGCCTGGATTAGCGCAGGAAAGAAGAAGAGCGAAAGAGAAAAGACCAAGCGGGAGGGGGGCAAACAGGAGGCGAGCCTCGCTGCCGGTCACAGGAAGGCGCATTCCAGGAAGTCCTTCCGGGCAAAGTGCAGTACCAAAACGGTGGATCCACGTCGACGCCGAAGACCGTCAGCCATGTCTGGTGGGGAGACGCGAGGCATGGATAATGTATAGCTTTTGCTTTTTCAGCGCGCCGAGGTGAAAACGGTACAGCAACACGCCCTGTGCATATTTCCGAAGCACCAAGGCCATCGCAGCAGCACGAGCAAGAGCAGCAGCACGAGCAACAGCAGCAGCACCAGCAGCAGCAGCAGCAGCAACAGTTAAAGCAGCAACACCAGCAGCACCAGCAGCAGCAGCAGCAGCAACACTATCAGCACCACCAGCAACAACGCCAGAAGCAGCACCAACACCAGCAGCACCACCAGCAGGACCAGCAGCAGCAGCACCAGCAACATCAGCAACACCACCACCAGCAACAGCACTAGCAGAAGCAGCGGCAACACCATCAGCAGCAGCACCAGCACACCAGCAGTAATACCAACACGATCAGTATTAGCATCAGCACCATCAGCAGCAGCACTGACACCCCTCGCTCCCAGAGATCTCTCAATTCACCCTTCTAGCCCGCACTGTTTCACTATGTGTCTCTTCCTCCGTTGTCCCGTCAGCTCTCATAGGCATCGGCTCTGACTGGGCTGGTGGGGATACGCGCCGCGGCAAGAATCGATGGAAAGACTGCGTGCACGTTGGGAACGAGATGGGCGAACAGCACTGGACAGGAAGAGAAGCCCACTAGGGCACAAAAGAATAATCAACGAAAAGGAGTCCCCTGAACCTCCCGCACTCCAGGCACTCATCGATTCTCCTCGGGCCCCGGGAGGCGAGGTAGCTGCAACCTCCGCCGCCCCTGGGGACGGAGGGAGGAGAGAGGAGGACCATAGGCTGAAGCGAGAGGAGGAGTGGCAGTGAGCTCGAGGTTTGCGGATGTTGGGTTGGGATGGTGGCTCCGTCCTTACCTCAACGGAAAGTGTGGCGAAGTGGCGGCGGCGTCAGCAGGCGAGGACTGGCAGAGCAATGGGCGGCACTCCTCGATCGTCTCCTCCCGCCTCGTTTGAGCTCAGACGCATATCTTGACAGGATGGCTGTATGACGATACCTAGAGACACAATGCTGAAAGTAGTTTTTTGGGAAGAAAGTGCATATTGCTGCCGATCTTTTCACGGTGGCTGTGGTGGGAGGAAACTCGGGCTCAGAATTCAGCCGCATCGCCAATGTATTGGCGATGCGGCTCAATCCTCCGACCCCATCTACACTGACCCCATTTGGGAGGCCTGGATTCCCCTCCTCCTCCTCCTCCTCCTCCTCCTCCTCCTCCTCCTACTCCTCTTACTCCTCTTCCTCCTCCTCCTCCTCCTCCTCCTCCTCCTCCTCCTCCTCCTCCTCCCGGGGGTGGGGGGGTGCCCTGTCGGTGGGCTCTCTCTCCCCTTGATCTCTCCCTCTACGGCCCGCGAGCCTTCCTCACGCAGCGCCGTCGGGCCGCTCCCTCGACTCCGATGGCCCGCGGACGGTCGGCCGCGCGGCCCGGCGGCCCGCGGAGCCACCGAGCCCGCGCCGGGGCTGGGCATTGAGCCTCCCCCCTCCCCCCCGCGAGGCTCCCGCAGCTCGGCCACCGCCGCCGTCAGCCCCCCCAGCGACGCCCGCTGCTCGCCCAGCTGCCTCCGCAGGTCCGCCTCGCTCGCCTGCAGCTCGCGCCTGTCGTGCTCCTCGTCGTGGCGGGGGCAGGGCGCCCGCCGCCGCGAGGCGAAGGCAGGATGGGGACGAGGTCATCCCTCCTCCTCCTGCTCTCCCTCGTCCTCCTGCTCTCCCTCCTCGTCCTCCTGCTCCTCCTCCTCCTCCTCCTCCTCATCCCCCTCCTCTTCCTCCTCCTCCTCCTCATCCCCCTCCTCCTGCTCCTTCTCCTCCTGCTCCTTCTCCTCCTACTCCTCCTCCTCCTCCTCCTGCTCCTTTTTCTCTCCTCCTCCTCCTCTCCTCCTCCTCCTCCTCTCCTCCTCCTCCTCCCCCTCCTCCTCAACCTCCTTCTCCTCCGCCTCCTCCCCATCCTCCTCCGTCTCTCCATCCTCCTCCTCGTCGTCCTCCTCGTCCGCCTCTTCCGCCTCCTCCTCCTCCTCCTAGTCCTCTCCCTCCTCCTCCACTTTCTCCCTCATCCTCGTCCTCGTCCGCATGCACCCTCCTCCTCGTCCTCCTCGTCCTACTTCTCCTCCTCATCATCCTCCCTCCAGCTCGCTCGTCCACGTCTTCGTACTCGTCCTCGTCCTCGTCCACCTCCTTCCTCCCTCGACTCCTCCCTCCTCCTTCTCCTCCCTCGGCCATCTCCTCCTCCTATTTCTCATCTTGCTCCGTCCTTGTTTCTCCTCCCCCTCCTCCATCTCCCTCCTCGTCCCCCTCCTCTTACTCCTCCTCCTCCTCCTCCTCCTCCTCATCCTTCTTCTCGCTCGGGGCGCGGGAACAAATCTGCATAACTCAGAAACTTTCAAAGGTCCAGGTATATCTGTAGAATCGGCGATAGAGCCCCGTTGCGAGCCATCTAGCGCCTCCCCTGGCGCGCTCGCGCCCGAGGGAGGGGGTCCCAACGCCGATTCAAGAAATTTCGCTTATGCTTATGATGGTTATGCGACTTCCCTCCACCGAACAAGTGACCGTTGTCAGATTTTCGCGACCATGTCGCTAGGCACGGGTGAGAGTGCCCTCAGGTCCCTTTGCAGTCTTCAGTCCTCAGCCCCAGGATTGACTACCAATGGGCCCAGACCCAAAATGAACAACTGTTCCAGGGTCTCTGGCGCGCCTCCCGCGGCCCCCCAGTGCGTCCCGCATGACTTGTTCGGAGCCACGAGCGCCCCAGGACGGGCGGAGAGAGCCCCGAGAGGCCCCTGACCTACAACCCATGTGCGGAAGCGGGATGGGTCGAAGGCCAGAGATCCGCCGCCCCCTGTGGCTTGCCGCAGGGGTTCACGACGTGCCAGAAGTCGGGTGCAGTCGGACCCAGGCCAGAAGAACATCCCTCGTGAGCATGTGACCCTCCGTCGGCCTCGATAAACCGAACACCTCAGGGCCCCCTCCCTAGCATGCACACGAGCATCCAGCAAGCACGAATAGCACTAGGGGCACCCTCCCCGAATCGCCCTCGATCTATTGCCTCGGTCCGCTTGCACGCCTGGGCCTGCTGTCAAGGCTCTCGGCGGCAGTGGGCTCTCGGCCGATCGCGCCCGCGGCGTGGAGAGCTCCGCCGACTCTGGCATCCGTGGGCCCTCCCCCTCACGACGGACCACAGGTGGCCTGCAAGATGTCCTCTGAGACGGCGACGACGGCCCCAGACGAGCCAACATGCTCCCAAGACGGTCCGAGAGGCCCCCCAAGCGGCCTGAGTGGCCTCATCAGAGGCCATATGAGGACCTCCAGAAAGGCCCGAAGAAGCAGCCAACATCACTGATGTGCCGTGATTGGATTTACAGAATGATGGCGTTTGCTACTGTACTGTTCTCTGGCGGGCCGAGAAGACGGCCCCAGAGGCCACAAAGATTGCCGAGTGCCCACGAGGCCTCCGGGACGGCCACCTGACGGCCCAACGGGCTCCCAGGACGACCCCACGAGAGCCCTAAGTCGGACCCGGAGATCTCCAAGACGCCCAAGACGGCCTCCAAGGCAGCCCTGAGGCGCCCAAAGAGGGCCCCAAGTCGACCCAGGGAAGCCTCTCGGGAGCGGCCCAGCAGGGGGGCCAGTGACGTAATGAAATAAGAAGAGGCGCGATGAAATCTGGGGAAATATCATGGCCCCCGCCAGGATATCCACCCCCCCCTGGTCATCACCCCCCTCTTTTCCGCCCACGAACCTCCAAGACGGCTTCCGACGGCGTCGGACGGACCGGGAACGCCCTCGGGACGGCCAAAGAGCATCTCAAGGACCTCCACAGGCCCCCAAGAGGTTCAAGGAGGCCTCCACGAGGCCTCGAAGAGGCTCTCAGGAGGCTCAGAGAGTGCCCGAAAAGCTCCAAAGAGCCCTCCTCCTCCTCCTCCTCCTCCTCCTCCTCCTCCTCCTCCTCCTCCCTCGTCCTATTCCCATTCCTCCCCTAAGTGTTCCCCTAAGTGTTCCCACAACGGCTGGGGGGGGGCACAGAGTCCGATAGCGTGGCGGAGCTCTGGCCACAACGTTCGGCCGCATAGGCGCTTCTGCACGGCAGGGAGCGGCGGTGATTCGCCTGAGGCGTCTTCGATCCGCCGCCATCTGTGGCTTGCCACGGGGGTGCACGGCGTGCCAAATGTCAGGCAACTGATGATCCTTTTTGAAGATTCCTTCTCGGCCGATCGCTCCGGCAGCGCGGAAAGCTCCGCCGATTCCGCTCTCCGTTGGCCTTACCCTTCTTGATTGCCTCAAGATGGCCTCCAAGACGGCTAAGATGGCCTCCAGGAAGGCCAAGATGGCCCAAAGAGCGCCCGAGATGGCTGCCAAGTGTCTCCAATACGGCCCAAGATGCACCCGTGACAGCATCAAATGGCCTCAGTATGGCCCAAGAAGGCCCAAGAGGCCCTCAACAGGCCTCCAAGACGGCCCAAGACGGTTCCAAGAGGTCCTCCGAAGAGGCCAAATCATTGATTTCCCCTGGGTCTTCGAATAAGTTTAGCCGTTGCTTCTGTTCGGCCTTCCGACGGACCAAGAAGGCGCAAGAGGCCCCCAAGGTCGCCCCCATAGTGCCAAAGGGGCCTCCAAGATGGGCCCATGGCGGTCCAAGAGGGCCCACCCCAGAAAGACCCCGAGACGGCCCAGGAGATCTCCCAGACGCCCAAGATGCCCCCCGAAACGGCTCTGAATCGCCCCCAAGAGAGCCCAAAGTTGGCCGAGAGAGGCCCCCAAGACAACTTCCGACTGCGTCAGGTGGGCCAGTAACGCCTTCAGACGGCCAAACAGCCTCCCGAGGAGCTACCCGAAGAGGCCCAAGAGGCTCAAAGAGGCCCCGAAGAGGCCGCCAAGAGGCCCCAGGCAGCTCCCAGGAGGCCCAACCGCGGGTGCGAGCAAGCACGGAGCGAGGACGAAGGCAGGACGAGGCCAAACTCGGGCGACGAGGGACAAGTCCAGGGGGGGGGGACTGACGCTGGGGCGCACGCACCCAGCTGGACTTCGAGGATACCTGTCCCCGATAGATCGGCGACGTGCCCCTGGTGGCGAACCCGCACGGTCCTGGATGGAGCGGGCTATCGGGCCCCTGTCGGCGATGAATGGGCGGTTGGGGATCGATGCTTCCCCCCCTGAGCCACCCCCTGACGTTGCCCCGGAAGGGACTGGGACAACATCGGAGGAGGACAACCTCGGGAACCTCTTCGCTGTAGGTTGCCTGTCGAGCATCGAGGGCTCTAGGCTCGAGGGATCGAGGGTTTTGAATGAGCCCAGGGACACGCAAACAAAATAAGCATAGACCCCAAGATTCCCAATATTGTTTCGTATTTTCTGGATGTTCGTCTTCCTATGTTTTCCCATGTTTTCCCGGGAATCCTCGATCATTTGCGTCTGTGTGTTTATCTTCCCCCCTGAGATTTGCGTGGCATCCTCGGAGCAAAGCGAGGCCGAATGGGAGGCTCCTCTTCGCACGGCGGCTCGTCCGCCGCCGCCCAAGGAAGGCGCCCTCGTCACTGCAGGAGCCATCGACGCCGACGCCGACGCCGACGCCGACGACGGCGGCGGCGTCGCCGTGCCAGAGGGTTCGAAGGATACAGTCGGAGCTCGAACACCAGAAACTTTCCACAAGACACCCAAAACCTCAGACTCCAGGACGTCCATCGATTTTAGGTTTGGAAACGTCACGCTTTCCATAGCAAAACCATCGAAACCCAATAAACCCGGGGCACCCTGGAGGCAAGCAGGGTGTTTCTTGGCATGGGTTTCCACTGTAGAGGGTACGAGAGTCGAGAGTTCGAGTCGGGCGGTGGCAGAATTGGGTTTAGTGGGACCTGGTTTAGTGATGTACACTGGGGGACGACCCCCCCCGCCCCTTTCCACTAACCGGAACTGCCGTCACCCGAAAAACACCAGCTATGGCAGACCTGGTTTCGTGATTCTGGCCAGCTCTGGGGCCCTCCTACTAACCGGGTCCCCTTCCTCGGGGTCCTGGCTATACCCGATCAGCGTTTTGTGACTCTTTCTTGGGCTTCCTGGGGGGCCCTCGTGACCACGGCCGGGCCCGCCCCAAAGAGATCACTGGCCGGAGCAGCCCCGTGAGAGAGGCCCAGAGGCCGCTCTGGCGTGGCTCGGCGAGGATCGAGGAACGACAGGGGGGGGATACTCGCTATCGCTCGGGCGCCCATTCCCTGTCTTTTTTTCTCGGTGTCGTGCGTGTTTTTTTTTTTGCAGGATGATCCAGGAAGTTCCTTACGAATCCCCGCCGAGAAAAAGCGCACACGTCCGAGCGATACCAAGGGCTAGGGGACGACGAACTCGGAGTCGACGCTCGAGGTGTTCGGGCGGTGTCGTCGGCTCTCGGCGGCGTTCCGGCCTCGGGCTGCTCTCCAGCGGCTGCGCCTCGCCGAGAGCGCTCCGGGGGCACACGGGATAGACCCGAACGGCCGCCGGAGAGCCGAGTTATGGCCCCAACCCGGCGCATGAGGCCGCCATGACAGCCGAAAAGCCCAAATGAAGCCCAATAGCCCCTGAGAGGCATGTCAAGACCGCACGTGTGCCTCAAGAGAGGCCGCGGCCTTAGAACCAAAAACGTTGAAGCATAATCGGTGTTCGAACTTTTCTGTGTGATATTCCGATGTTCCGAAGGTGTCCCGGTCGGTCGAAAGAAAAGAGCATGAAGTAGGAAGGTGGACATAGTAGATGTGGTTCAGGCCCTCCCAGACAACAACAAGACGCAACAAAACCGATCGATTCTTGAAGTAGGAAGGTGCTTGAAATGAATTGGGACCTTGGAATCAAACAATACCTACTTTCAACGACTGGCATGTAATCGCACCAACCCTGGGCGGGAACGCTGAGCCCGCAAAAACGTTTTCTCCAGCTTGAGCTGCCACTCCGTGCCACAGCAACACCACCACAGTTGTTCCATGCGGGATGAGTGGGAGGGAAGGAAGATTGACGGGAGGTAGAGGAGTAGAGAGAACGAAAAATGTGAAACAGCAACACACGCTCTTATGCATCCGGAGGTTTCTGGAGATCTCCCAGCGAACTCGGAGGCTTCATCGCTTGGCGGACCTTTGGAATTGCGATGAAGATGAGGAGGAGAGGGCGACGACGAGGAGAATGAGGAACGAGGGGAGTGGCGGGGCGGGAGGGTCGCGGAGGAAGGGGAGGAGGGGTCGGTGAGAGTGGGTGGGGGGAGGGGGAGAAGGAAGGGCAGGAGAGCGGGGGGAGGAGGGACGGCAAGGCTTCGGGTTGCGCGCAGGCTGCACCCACGGATAGTCCCAGCGGGCCTCAACAGGCCCCTCCCAACAGTGCGGGGCGGTCCTTCAACCTCACCCCTGGGGCGCGGAGCGCCCAAGAGGCGCCGCCGGAGGCGGCGCCAGGGTGCTGAGACCGCCCTAGGACTACTTGGGGGGCCTGTTGAGACCAGCCTCTTCCCCCTCTTGAGCAGGGACCGACCGTCCTGGCATTCCTAGAGTCATACCAGGCAATGCTCTTAGAACTAAACAAAGTTCAAAGTTTCAAGCAGAAAAACAATAGTCTCAGAAAATGAACCCGAGGTATGATAAAGCAATACAGTCTTAACCAAACATGTTCTAAGAGCATGCCGTTCAAACCACCAAATGTTCTTAGAACCTTATTTTGTGGGCGTATGGGCTATAGGCAAGCCAGGACGACTCGCCACTGCTTGACCCTGGGGCTCCAGCTGCACCTCCACGCGGTCTTGCCACACGCCAACATCCGAGCGGATCTTGTCGGCGATCCTCTGAAACTCGTCGCCGAAGGAGCTCTGCAACGACTTGACCTTCGCCACGATCGCCTCGGGCCGAGAACCGCCTGCGCCCAGCTTGCCGTCGCTCGAACGTCCAGTCCCCGCACATGTTTCGGTTTCGTGCGTGTGCTCCTGTTGCTCGGTGATCCAGGATGCTCCTCGATGGTCCTCGCCGAAATAGCAAAAAAGACGATGCCAAGCCATGGGGAGGAGGCCTCTTCATGCACCTCGCACCTCGCACCTCCTTCTCCCAATCCCGATGCGCCCCACTCCTCCTCCTCGCCTGGCGCAGAGCGTCGGCCTGCGCGCAGACAGCCTCCCGAAGCGGTCCGGGCTGGCCTCGCCATGCCCCCCCCGTGCAGGTACTGGCTGGCCTCAACAGGCCCTCCCAGCAGCCTGGGGCGGCCTCAACTCTCTGGACGGTCGGTCCCTGCTCAACAGGGGGGGGGAGACCAGTCATCGTCACCGTCACCGTCACCGTCACCGTCATCGTCATCGTCGTCGTCGTCGTCGTCGTCGTCGTCGTCGTCGTCGTCGTCGTCGTCGTCGTCGTCGTCGTCGTCGTCGTCGTCGTAGGTCGTCGTCGTAGGTCGGTCCCTGCTCAACAGGGGGGGAGACGAGTCTCAGCCCTTCCTTCCTGCCCCGTCTCCCAGCTTGGTAGACTGTCGGGCTGCGCACGGACAGCCCCCTCAGATAGTCCTGGCTGGTCTCAACAGGCCCCCCAAGTAGTCCTGGGGCGGTCTCAACACCCTGGCGCCGCCTCCGGCGGCGCCCCTTGGGCGCTCCGCGCCCCAGGGGTGAGGTTGAAGGACCGCCCCGCACTGTTGGGAGGAGCCCTGGGCCTGTTGAGGCCAGCTGGGACTGCCAGGGGGGCCCAGTGAGGCCAGCTGGGACTGCCAGGGGGGCCTGTCTGTGCGCAGCCCGAGGCTTCTTTACTCCTCGCCCTGCTGCTCCTCCTCCCCGGGTAGGAAGCCCAAGCGGGCCTGGAGGAGTGGGCGGAACGCGGAGAATACAATACAGTACGGTACAGAAGCCAGGCGCTGGCAATTGGTACACCCTGCGAAATGCTTAAGAAATCATGGGTTAAGAAATTCACAGTCTCAGAACTTGAATAAAAACCCAACGTTTCTATTAACATCTGAAGAGTTACATGGAAACGTTAAGAATATTCGAGACTCTGGACGAAAACTTAGGTTTTCTTAAGCATCGCCTAAGGTGTACGGCGCCTGGGCACCACTGCCGCCACTGAGCTGGGTTTCCGGCAGGACGCGTGGGCAGAAGAGTGCGCAATTGGCACCCCTTCGGGGGCACATTTCCTGACGAAAGACCCATTCATATGCAATCGTGAACACCGTCGTTGTGGGTACAGCGTTCGGTGGATCTCCTGACGGGGTCACGAAGCGGGTCAAAGGTGAGCCGTATTGGGGCGGGGCCGCCATGCGGACCCTGTCACTGGGGTCTTCGGTGGAGCTCCCTATGGCGCCACGAACCGTGTGAAGTGTGTGCCAAATTTGGCGTCGGGCGCATGCGGACCCTGGCACTGCAGCCTTCGGTGGAGCTCCGTATGGGGCCACGAACCTGTTGAGCGGTGCGCCACAACGGGAGGGGTGCGCCAACATGGGCGTCGGGCGCATGCGGACCCTGCCACTGGGGCCTTCAATGGAACTCCGTATGGGGCCACGAACCGTGCGAGGGGTGCATCAACAAGGGCCTCCTGCGCATGCGGACCCTGCCACTGGGGCCTTCGGTGGAACTCCCTACGGGGCCACGAACCATGTGAAGGGTGCGCAAAAATGGGCGTCTGGCGCATGCGGACCCTGCCACTGTGGCTTTCGGTGGAGCCACGAACCGTGTGTGGGGCGAGCCAAGATGGGCGTCTGGCGCATGCGGACCCTGCCAGTACCCCCTACGGGGCCACGAACTGTGTGAGGTGTGCGCCAAAATCGAGAAGGCGAAAACCCGCGATTCAAGGAGTTGGGACCCGGGGTGGGGTTGGGTTTTCGGGGTCCAGGAACGCAGAAAACCCTCCCCCACCCCCAATCCCGACCCCTTGAATCGCCGGCTCGGGGATCGGCGTCGGGACTGGGGGCAAAATGAGCGTCTGGCGCATGCGGACCCTGCCACTGGGGCCTTCGGTGGATCTCCCTATGGGTCTACGAACCTTGTTAAGCGGTGCGCTACAGTGGGCGTTTGTCGCATGCGGACCCTGCCACTGGGGCCTTCGGTGGAGCTCCCTATGGGGCTACGAACTGTTAAGCGGTGCGCTACAGTGGGCGTCGGGCGCATGCGGACCATGCCACTGGGGCCTTCGGTGGAGCTCCCTATGGGGCCACGAGCCGTGTGAGGGGTGTTCCGAAATTGTGCGCATGCGGAGAGCAGAGAAATGACGCTGACGATGGCGAGCCGTGGTGATGACGATGATGACGATGATGGTGATGACGATGGTGATGATGATGGTGATGATGATAATGCGGACAGTGATCATGATGATGATGATGATGATGAAGATGACGATGACGATGACGATGACGATGACGATGATGATGATGATGATGATGATGATGATGATGATGATGATGATGATGATCATGATGATGATGATGATGATGATGATGATGATGATGATAATGATGATGCTAACGGTGATGACGGCAAGCGGGGAGCCGAGGCCATACCGGAAAAAAAAGGAAGGACGGATGAGAGGACACGAGGAGAGGAGAGGGCGCGGGGCGCTGTCTCTTCAATACGAGGACCCAACACCACAGGAGGGTTAATAATAACACGAACGTCTCCTCGACCCACTCCCGAACACCGGCTCCTCATCCTCACTGAACATAAGACGTTCCCGGGGCCTCGGCGAGACCCTCCGAGGCCGAGAACCACCGACAAAATGCCGTCCCATGGTGGATCTATGGGTCTTCTCCGAAGTGAGCCCCTGCAGCGGCCGACCTTCCGATGCGCCTCGACTGAAGCAGGCAGGCGGCGGCAATCGCGCAGCGTCCTGGCTGTACCGACGTGCGCCGCGCGAAAAGTTCCAGGCACCTGATGATGCGAGTTGCTCAGTCCGACCGTTCAGGTCTCAACTACGTCTCTGCTGTCTCTCGACTCCTGGTTCCGCTGTCCCACGATTTCTCCAGATCGACCTGGGTATCTTTGGATGTGCATCGATTTACCTGGGTGTGTACATATAGACATATCTACAAATGTAGGAAAAAACAGACATATGTGTAAACCCGGATTTGCGCCGATGTACCTCGATTTACGCAGCTTGATCCCCGCGAGTCGATTGGAGAAGAGGCGTCCATCGCCCAGGGACCTGCGGCCCCGGCAGGGTGCCCCTCTCCCTCGGCCCCGGCGCCCCTGCGCGCGCTCCCAGTGGTGGGGGCCCTGCGGCCCCCGGCAGGGGGCCGACACCTTTTCCTCGGGGCCGGCTGCTCGCCCCCGCCCCCCCTCCCTGGTGGCCCCCGAGGCCCGATGACGGGAGGAGGAGGAGAAGGAGGAGGAGGAGGGGGAGGAGGGGGAGGTAAAGCTAAAGGCCATTGGGGGCCCCTGGTCTGCAGCAACTCTCGAACCTGCAGCGGCCCCTAGGGAACATTCTGGAAGCATGCCCCCATGTGCCGCATCTGCGGCCCACGAGGCTGCCTGGGGCGAGGCGGGAGGCCAGGCGCGCGGTCGCGCGACCCTGCGCCCTCGCTGCCCCGCTGCAGGGGGGCCCTGCTGGCTCGACGGGCATTATACAAGGCAGGGGTCGGGGGTGGCTCTCGGGCGCGCCTCCGACTCTGGGGACTCCGTTCATTGAAGTGGCGGGGGGGCTACCGCTTCTGCATGGCGGCGCACCCCCCCCCCATTGGAAGACGTTCGAAATTCTGGCCAGGTGGAGATCGGACGCTGGCTCCTCTTCCTCCTCCTCCTCCTCCTCTTCCTCCTCCTCGCTACCACATCCACGCACCCCCCCCCCTCCGAGCCAACGCCATCTCCAGAGGGCCTCTTGCAGCCTCCGCACCTTCCGAATCGACCCACCACTCCCTGATGGGGTGCAAGCGCGCTGCGAGCGGAGGGGGGGGGGGGGAAGGGGAGAGGAGCCGAGGGAGCAAGCCGAAGCCAGGAACCAAGGCCCCCAACCAAGGGGGGGGGGGGGAAGAGAAGGGACGGGGGGGAAGCCGCGGATAAGCGACAGCCGCAGCCCCCGTTGGGTGCTGAGCGTAGCCAATCAGCGCTCATATCTTTTGAGCCGTGTACCGAGATGGCAATGACGTCACAGGCAAGCGCGAACGCGAATCGTGGAGAAGAAAGATGGAGACATAACAGCCCATCCGTAATTCAAACGTGTCGCAACATTTCAGGGCAGCCCCAACTTCGATCCATACATCCAGTGCAAAACATAGGTTGAGATTATTGCTCCAAATTTGCCAAGTTTGTGGTGTATTGCTTCCGCTGTCAGTTCTCCATATTGAGATGTCAACGCTGCTTCGAACTCCACGTCGACGAATTCGCACTTCGCGATCTCTGCATGCGGTGCTGTCTCTGTGGTTGCTTGTGACTGTCTAGCTGTCGTGTCCAAACCTTCCACGTGAATGTCCACACCGTCCAAGGATGGATCCATCAACTCGTATTTTCTCGCTATTGAAAGCATTTGCTAATGGCGGTGCCACACACGAATTGAGACCGCCGGGGTATTTATCTACAATTGCAGAGAATTGTGAAATGAATCCATCGCTGTCAAATGAGGCTATCAATTCTTCAAAATAACGAGCTGTGTAATTGTCTTGGCTGGCGTACTGAAAGTCATCCGTGCCGACCGTGCTGTAGGATTCCGAGCTGTCTCGTTCTGCTTCCGTTGCGCCATGACCATCAGTCTCAAGTCCAGGCGGCGCGTCGTCACTTAGTGTAGTGTCTAACTCTAGCCGTGGGGGTGGTGTGAGAGAGCATGCCACGTACGAGTACATGCCGTCTCCTCCCGACTCGCTGGAAATAAGCTCTGCCATTATACGTAAACTTTTTGTTTTGCGGAATTATTGCATGGATTCTTCGGATACGCATTCGACGCTTCATTGCAGAGGTCACACAAGTAGGCGGCACAATGCAATTCAACATCATGCTAACAGAAGGTACAGTATCGGGTATATGGCCACGATGTGCCTCCTGCCCCTGCTTCGACGGCGATAGGAGCCCCCCAGGCCACCTTGCCGCGCGGGCCTGCGAAGGTCGGGGCTGTTACGGCGCTGGTGTTCAAGTGTACGTGAGGTTCGGTCGCTCAAAATCCTGACCTCGACCCAGCGGCCTAGGAGGATGAGGAGGAGGAGGAGGAGCAGGAGAAGGAGGAAAAACCGCCGGGATTGCAGACGTCATGCCCTCGGAGATCCGTGGGGCCCTGCAGCGGCGGCGGCAGCACACACTGAGCGGCAGCAGCGGCGGCGGCGGGGCGCCTCGGACCACCACACCCGCTCGTCGGCCAGGTCCGCCATGGACGCGCCATCGCCGGGACTCTGGCCCTGGCGCCTTGTGGAGGACGGTGCCTTGGGCTGCGGGCTGCCAGCCTGGGGCGGCGTCGCCGCCGCCGCCGCCGAGGGAGGGCTGCGAGACGGGGCCAGGCCAGGGACAACACCGGACGGGGACAGATCGGGGACCTCTGACCCCGCAGCGATTCGTCACGGTCCTGGCCTCGCCAGAGGCTGAGACTCGAGGGGTACGGCGCGGCCAGATCATACGGATCCGCGGTGAGGATGCGAGACCCTCGCGGTAAAGATGCGAGGCCCTCGACCGCCCCAGTCGAAGCCGGAGGTGGGAGACCGTGGCCCACGGCAACGGGCCAGTCTGGGCCGAGGGGCACGGATGCAATGGCACTCTCCTCGTGAGACGGTCTGGCCGGGTCAACGATCGAGGATCGTGGGTATGTCCAGCGTTTTTTCTGTGTGCCTGCAGGGACAGACGAGCAGCAGCAGCAGCAGCAGCAGCAGGAGGCGGAGGAGGGACGACGTGACTGAGGGCGGAGGAGGGGGCAGGAGGGATGAAGAGCAAGGGTGGGACGAGATGCGGACAGCGACGGGGACAGGGAGGCGCAGCAGCATCAACAGGAACAGGAGGAGGGACGATGTGGAGGGAGGAGAGGGGATGACGGAGGGAGGAGGACAGAGGGGATGACGGAGGGAGGGGGGTGGAGGGAAGACATCCTCCTCTTCCCGCTCCCTGCCTTCCTCCTCTGCCTCTCCCTCCTCCTCCTCCTCCTCCTCCTCCTCCTCCTCCTCCTCCTCCCCGTGCTCCTGCACGTCATGCTTCTCGGGTGGTTGCGCCCGCGGGCGGGCAGAAATGTGTCGCCTGGTTGCGGTTGCGGTTGCGCCCGCGGGCGGGTTGAAATGTGTCGCACGGTCGCGGTGGCGGTTTCGACCGTGGGCAGGTTGAAATGTTTCGCGTGGTTGCGCTTGCGGTGGCGACCGCGAGAGGGTTGAAATGTGTTGTCTGGTTGCGGTTGCGTTTGCGGTTGCGCCCGCGAGCGGGTTGAAATGTGTTGTCTGGTTGCGGTTGCAACTGCGACTGTGGGCGGGTTGAAATGTGTCACCTGGTTGCGGTCGCGGTTGCGCTCGCGGGCAAATCCCACCAGCCCTTTGGGCGTGAGTGGTTTAGAGAGCCCGCTCTGTCCTCAACCCCCCTTCTTCCCCTTCGGGGAGGGGTTTACCCCTCCCCCTACCCCCTCCCCCTGGGCCTGGAGAGGGAGTCCGGCGGGTGGTCAGAGGGGTCTTTTTCGACTCCTGGGAGGGCTAAAAAACGACGACCCTCACGAGGATTCTGGCCCCGACGGGGGGGCTGAGAAAAAACCCTCTCCTCTTCTGTGAAGCCAACAACATTGATTTCACTAGGGTTTTGGGCCCATTTTGGGCTTCTGAGGGGGCAGCGCTCATCGTCCTTCATAGCAAAATCATTGATTTTACGAAGGTTTTGGGCTCATGTTGTCCTTCTCGGGGGGCAGCTCTCATTTGCGCTTCTGAGGAGGTCGCAAGAGGCCCCAAGATGGCCCCAAGAGGCCCCCAGGAGGCTCCCAAGAGGCCTCCAAGAGGCCCCCCAGAGGCCCCCAAGAGGCCCCAAGACGCCACCAAGAGGCCCCCAAGAGGCCCCCAAGAGGCCCCAAGAGGCCCCAAGAGGCCCCCAAGAGGCCCCCAAGAGGCCCCCAAGAGGCCCCCAAGAGGCCCCAAGAGGCTCCAAGAGGCCCCCAAGAGGCCCCACGAGGAGCCCGAACGACTCACACCAGGACGAGGGGCCCGAACGACTCACACCACGAAGAGCCCGACGACTCACACCACAAGGAGGGGCCCGAACGACTCACACCAGGGCACGCGAGACGCCCTCGTCCTTCTCCCGCTCCCACCACAAGGAGGATGTACAAGGAGGCGGGAGGAAGGAGGAACAGGGGAGATATGCGGGGCCAAGCGGACACACGCCTGAAAAACACGACTGTCGGCATGCTTCGCAAGAGTTGCTGTTGTGAGATGGGCTGGTGGGGATACGCGAAGCGTAAAGAATTGAAATGTGTCGCCTGGTTGTGGTCGCGTTTGCGGTTGCGCCCGCAAGCGGGTTCCATGGTGTCGCCTGGATGCAGTTGCGGTAACGCCCGCTGGCGGGTTGAACTGTGTCGCCTGGTTGCGGTTGCGGTTGCGGCAGCGCCCGCGGGCGGGTAGAAACGTGTCGCCTGGTTGCGGTTGCAAGTGTAGTCAGGTTGCGGTTACAGTTGCGCCCGCGGGCGGGTTGAACTGTGCCCTTTGGTTGCGGTTGCGGTTGCGACTGTGGGCTTGTTGAAATGTGTCGCCTGGTTGCGGTTGCGGTTGCGCTTGCGGTTGCGCTTGCGATCGCCGCTGCGCCCGCGGGCGGATGGCAATGTGCAGTCAGGTTGCGGTTGCGATTGCGCCCGCGGGCAGGTTGAACTGTGTCTTTTGATTGCGGTTGCGGTTGCGACTGTGGGCTGGTTGAAATGTGTCGCCTGGTTGCGATTGCGGTTGCGGTTGCAAAGTGTGTCGCCTGATTACGGTTGCGGTGAAGCCCGCGGGCGGGTGGCAATGTGTCGCCTGGTTGCGGTTGCGGTTGCGGTTGCACCCGCGGGCAGGTTGAACTGTGTCGCCTGGTTGCGGTTGCGGTTGCGCCCGCGGGCGGGTTGAAATGTATCGCCTGGTTGAGGTTGCGTTTGCGGTTGCGCCCACGGGCGGGTTGACATGTGTCGCTTGCTTGCGGTTGTGGGTGCGCCCGCGAGCGGCTTGAACTATGTCGCCAAGTTGCGGTTGCGGTTGCGACCACGGGCGGCTTGAAATGTGTCGTTTGGTTGCGGTGACGCGGTTGCGCCCGCGAGCGGGTTGAAATGCGTCGCTTGGTTGCTTTTGCGGTTGCGCCCGCGGGCGGGTACCAATGTGTGGCCTGGTTGCGATTGCGATTGCGCCCGCGGGCGGCTTGAACTGTGTCGCCTGGTTGCGGTTGCGGTTACGCCCGCGGGAGGTTTGAAATGTGTTGTCAACAATGCCTCTCGAATCCAACTGGTCCAAATCACTCGGTCGGTCAATCAGCGGAGGGCACGGAACCGCTTCCGGCTCCGCGGGGAAGAAAAGGCAGGATGAGAAGATGCCGAGGGAGAGGAAACGAGGGGGGGGGCTCAAGTGGTTTGAGTGTTGTGTTCTGCACGCACGCAGTTCCACTGCATGGCAACGGTGTGTACCTAGCAGAGATTTCGCTGCCAGGGTTCCCCTGAGGCCTCTGGAGACCCAGGCGAGGACCACAGCTACCAAAAAACACTCGACCCTCGACCCTCTTCCTGGCCTCCGCCCGTGGCTGCTTATCATCAAGACGGAAGACGGCACTACTGAGTACTGACATGGGGGGCCACAGGTGGGCCGAATCGGAACCGAACAGAACAAGGGAAGGGGGCATGGAGGAGGGAGGAGGGAGGGGAGGAAGAGGCTGACAAGCAGATGCTTGTTCATCTTGACCTGTTCACTCTCGACCTGTTCTCTTTCGCTCGCTCTATCTATGCGTACCCTTTACCCACTCGCTCTCGACAGGTGTTCTCTCTCTCTCTCTCTTTCTCATTCTCTCTATCTCTCTCTCCTGTCCATATACATGTATATATGTATATATGTGTTCCTAAAACATGTATGCGTATATACATATACATCCAGCGTTGCACAAACATCACCAATATGCCTTGAACCGCAAGTAGATATATCCCATCACCGTGCAAACTGATGTGATTTTACCCGCGGCCCGAAGATCCCAACCCCTTCCTCGAGTAGTGTCGCAGGGCCCGATCGCGGACATCAGAGCCGACAATCGAGGAGCGACGCCCAGGTCGAAAACATCGTATCATCGGATACCGGGGTAGATCGAAGACAATCATCTCTCGTGGTAGATTTAGGTCGGACTCAAAGAACATTCAAAACGAATACCCAAAAATTAGTCCAACAATCGTCCCCAAACTATGTTTGAATCTTTGAATATTCCTTCTGTAGAGGGACGTGCCCGACCCAATCGTGATATGGATCCCTTATCAATCGACACCCCCCTGAAAAAACCGGACACCCCCCTGCTTCGCGACATAATTTTCTGGACCCCCTCCCGCAAAGGGCGCCTGAATATTCCGGACCCCCCCCCCGCCGGCAACACTGCGAGCGCGATCGTTCATGACGGTGGCTTGGGGATAACGGTGAGGATAAATAGACGCCATTGCCAACGTGAAGTTGGACTACATTGTTGAGTAGCGCGATGGGAGCAAGGGCTGAGTATCCATGTTCCCCCCGCAGAGTTTTTGCGAGATGCACGGAACCTCAGGAACGATAAAGGCCCGACCCCCAACATTTCAGGCCAGAAAGTGCGAAGAGCCCCACCCATGTCGAAAACCGATTTGGTTCTAGAGTCCATGGCGCATGGAATCTCATACTAAGAAGACAACGGCCCTACCCAGCGCGCCAATCCCGCTCCTTGAAACAGAAAACACTTGAAATGAAAGGCGGTTCGGCAGGCGATTGGCATGGAATTCGATTACATTCTAAACAACAACGATGACAACGAATGTGGCCTCCCGATGTCGGCGACTGTGACGACGAGCGTGAGTACGGGTGGTGCGAATTGCATGCTCAAAAGGCGCCCGAAAAAAACCGGACCCCCCTGAACGTCGGCTTCAAGAAAACGCCCTACGAAACGAGACCCCCCTGCCTCCCCACAAGGCGCCTTACAAAACCGGACCCGGGGGATGATTATAAAGTAATCCGGAGTAGATTGAAGGGGCCCAAAGACACACAAATAAATACACACAAATAAAATGGTTCCCTATATTTTCCCATATTTTCTGGGTTTTTGTCTTCCCGCCCAATTCCCATATTTTCCAATATTCTCTTGGGGATCGTAGATTAATTGTGTCTGTGTGTTTTTTCCCTCCTGATAGATGGGGAGACAACCAAACACCGATACCGCTGCTCCCCAGACCCTGGGAAGAATCCAGCCGTGGAGACGAGGCACCTCCAGAGCGAGCAGCGGCATCGGTATCCTTCCCTGGACCCCTCTCCTCCGACGTCACATTGTTCCGTGACGTCCCCCAGGGAACTCGCTCGACCCAGCTGGTGTTTCATCCTAAGATGTGTTCTGACTGTCCTGGGGCTGGGAGACAGGGGCCTCCGGAGGCCAAACAAATGACGAACAGCTAGCCGTCACGATTAGTCACATCGCCCGGATGTGAAAGATAGAGCAGGTCGGTGTCATGCCGACCCTGGTGGTGGTTCCTGACATTGCGGGAACCGTTCCACCGTGAACGATCGACCGTTGCCGAAAATGTCAGATCCATCAACACCGACCGATTCTCGGCCGCCGGCGGCGTTCAACGTTGAACGACGGAAGCGGGGTCGCCACCGCCGTCGACACGACTCGAACCTACCGTAGAGGAGGTGGAGGAGGAGGAGGAGAAGGATGCAGTGGAGGAGGAATCGGAGGAGGAGGTGAAAGAGGAAAAGGAAAAAGAGGAGGACGAGGAGTAGGAGGGGGAGGAGGAGAAAGAGGAGGGGGGTAGGAGGAGGAGGATGAGAAAGAGGAGGAGGAGGAGGAGGAGGAGGAGGAGAGAGGAGAAATGAGGAGAAAGGGAGCGGGAGCAGGAGGAGGAGAAGAAAGAGGAGAGGGAGGAGGAGGACGACGGGAAGGAAAAGGAGGAGGTGGAGGAGGAGGCGGACGCGGAGGAGAAGGAGGCGGAGGAGGAGGAGAGGGGAGGGGGAGAAGGAGGAGGAGAGGAGGGGAAGAAAGAGGAGAGGAGGAGCAGGAGGAGGAAGAGGGGGAGGAGGAGGAGGAGGAGGAGGAGGAGGAGGAGGAGGAGCAGCATAATCTTTCGTTGTCCCCCCCCTCCCGTGCGACCGCGCGCTTCGCCGCTGCCCTCGGCGGCTCCGACTGCGCGCTGCCCGGCAAGGCTCCCGAGCTCGGAAGCACCACGCTGGACCTGCCCCAGCAAGGGGGGAGGCGCGGGAGGGCTTGCGGCTGCAGCCCCAGGGGAACGAGCAATCGCATAAGCATGAAAACTTGGAGGTCCGCGCGGATTTCTCGGATCGGCGCTGGGACCCCCTGGCAGCGCCTCTGGCGCCGCCCCTGGCGCGCTGACCGCGCCAGAGAGGCGCGTCCAGCGTCGATCCGAGAAATCCGCGCGGACCTCAGATTTGCTATGTTTGTGTCATTCTTCGTTCCCCCATTGCGGCTGCAGCCCCAGATCTCAGACGACATACGTTTTCCTGACCATCCTGTGGTGCTGGATATCAGCCGCGCCCCGCGACTCCTCTTCTCCTCCTCTTCTCCTCCTCTTCTCCTCCTCACCTCACCTCACCTCACCTCACCTCCCCTCACCTCACCTCTCCTCTCCTCTCCTCTCCTCTCCTCTCCTCTCCTCTCCTCCTCTCAGCGCCTGCCACTGCCCTCCGCATGCACACTTCGGCACAGCCATCACACGCTTCGTGGCCCCCGAAGGAGCTCCGCCGAAGGCCCCCGAGGAGCAAACAACTGCGCAAACCTAAACCGTCGGAGCTCCGCGCGGACTGATAGGATCGGCGCTGGGCCCCCCCCAGCGGTGTCTCCGGCGCAGCCCCCGGCGCGCACAACGCACAACTTTCATATACATATATATATTTATACTAGAACTGTGTGTATATGTATACGTATAAATATATAACCACGTACCGTGTACCACAGATGCTGTTCCACATACTTATCACAGCCTAGATGGTGTAACATGGATCGAACCACTTCTACTGCACAGCATGGGCTGCACGACCTATACTGCACATCATAGATTGCAAGACATCGATTGCAACATATCGTTTGCTCCGCATATAACAAACATAGATGTAGTGAACCACACTGGTTGGGATCCAGACTTGCTAAGATACAATGTTCAGCTAACGCATCGCAGGACGCCGTATGTTCCAGATTCTCTCTCGGCGGCGCGTCTGGGGCATTCTTGACAGAGCCGCACGTGGCCGAGGTGACAGGAGGAGAAGGGGGAGGAGTAGGAGGAGAAGAGGGTGAGGAGGAGTAGCAATTGAAGCACCAATGCCATGAGGTCCGAGGTCCCAGGAGGAGGAGGGAGGCGGCAGAGGAGATGCAAACCCTCCTTCCCGTCCGATCCGAACGACGACGACGACGACGACCACTACGGCGCTCCCTTGGCACGCGTAAAAACGGCTCCTGAGGGAAAAGGGGTCCTGGACTCCAGGGCACTCCCAAGGACCAACTTTTCGTCCTGAGCCGTACATGTTCTGGCGGTCCCAGGGACCGTGGAGGCGCCCCACCTGCTAGAAAACTGGCCCTAGTATCCAAAAACTATCTGGGCAAACCTGGAACGCCTTCGGCGACGCGCAGCTGCTTGCAAACATCCCGCGGCTGGAAGACCGCCGAGAATCTACAACAACGCCCGAAACCCGCGAGTCTCGAACACGAAATCTTTGCCATCGCTCGGACGCCCATTTCCGTGCATTTGTCGGTCTCGCGCGTGCATTTTTCAGAAGAATATAACCGCATATAAACATAAACTGTTGGCGCTCCGCACGGATATCTTGGATCTGCGCTGAAACCCTCTCCCTGGTGCGCGGAGCGCGCCAGGGGCGGCGCCGGAGGCGCCGCCGGGGGGGCTCCAGCGCGGATCCAAGAAATCCGCGCGGAGCGCCAAAAGTGTGTGTCTACGGCGTTGCTTCTTCCTAGATGTTTCGCAAGATGACCTCGCATGCTCCTCGATGGCCCCCGCTAAAACAAGGTGCACAGGTCTGAGAGATGCCAAGAATCCGGCGAGGCGATGGTGCCCCCCCGAGACGCGCCCACCCCTGGCCTGGCTGAGCCCAAGCCCGAGCTGCCAGGAGCGAGGGTTGGCATGCTGCCGGGGACTGGGAGCCTGGGGGGCGGGCGCGCGGCGGGCAACGCCTCGACTCCTCGCCACCTGGCCTCCGCCCTCCTCCTCCCGCCCTCTCCTGCCTCTCCTTCTCCTCAGGCCCCCCTCCCTCCCCCGTCCTATTCCTCATAATCCTGCTGAGCCTCTTCGTGCTCCCTCCTCCGTCTCCGCCTGTCTCCGCCAACGCCTCCTCCTCCTCCTCCCTCTGGCCCTCCTCCTCCTCCTCCTCCTCCTCCTCCTCCTCCTCTGCCTCCTCTCCTCCTCCTCCTCTCCTCCTCCTCCTCCTCCTTCCTCCTCCTCCTCTCTACCTCACCCCCCTCCTCATCCTCTTCCTCCTCGTCGTCGTCCTCCTCTTCCTCCTCCTCCTCCTCCTCCTACTCCCTCCTCCTCCTCCTCGTCCTCCTCCTCCTCCTCATCATCATCAGCATCATCAGCAACATCATCATCACCACCACCATCATCATCCTCCTCCGCATCATCAGCAGCAGCATCATCATCATAATAGAAAATCATGATCATAATCATAAACATAATCATAATCATAATCACCATCACCATCACCATCACCATCACCATCATCATCATCATCATCATCATCATCATCATCCTCATCATCATCATCAGCATCAGCATCATCATCATCATCATCATCATCAGCAGCAGCATCATCATCATCACCATCGTCCTCCCATGTCCCCCTCCTCTGCCCCCTCCTCTTCCCCCTCCTCCCTCCCCCTCCTCCCTCCCCCCCTCCCTCCTCCTCCTCCTCCTTCCCCCTCCACCTCCTTCTCCTCCCCCCCTCCCCTGTCCCCCCCTCCCCTGCTGTTCTTCCTTGTCATGCACCGCCTCATCCTTTTCCCGTCTCCTCCTTCTCCTCCTCATCCTCCTTCTTCTCCTCCTCCTCATCTTCTCCTGTTCCTGCATCCCACTCCTCCTAAACCTCCATCTTCATCCTCCTCCACCTCCTCCGTTTCCTCGTCCTCTTCCATCTCCTCCTCCTCCTCCTCCTCCTCATCCGCCTCCTCCGCCTCCTCCCCTCTCTCCGCCTCTCCTCTCTCCTCCTCCTCCTCCTCTCTCCTCCTCCTCCTCCTCCTCCTCCTCCCTCCTCCTCTTTCTCCTCCTCTTTCTCCTCCTCCTCCTCCTCCTCCTCCTCCTCCTCCTCCTCTTTCTCTTCCTCCTCCTCCTCATCATACTGTTCCGCCTCCTCCCGATCCTTCTCCTCCTCCTCCTCCTCCTCCTTCTGCTTCCTCCTCCTCCTCCCTCCTCAACCTCCACCGCCCCCTGCCCTCGAAGTTTAGAGGATAACCACATACATCTAACGCGCTGACTTCGAATATCGCGTTTCCTTGAGTGTTCGGCTGAGGAGAAATTCGATCCTGCATCAGCGATGCATCGCCGACAAAACAGCGATTGAACCCCGATAGCGAGACTGCTCGCACTATGACGAACTGGACTATCGAGCCCCTATCGGCGATTAGTTCGCGATTTGCGTCTACGCATCCCCCCTGAGCCCCCCTTAACGTTGCCTCTCGTCCTTGTGTTGGAAGATAGAGGGTCGAATGGTCTTCAATGTTCTTGAATCACAATTGAAGTGTGTTTAAGATTTTGGTGTATCGAGGGTGGCAGATACTTACAGTTCCTGCCTTTGGCGAACACCGAAGATCCGTTTTCTGAAGTTGTCGAAGCTACAAATGCTCGGAGGTGTTCGGTCGCTTCTGCGTATTAGTGGGCCTCCCGGGACGAATTCGTGTCTTGATCTCTCTCTCTCTCTCTATCTCTCTTTCTCTCTTATTCAGGTGTCCAACGTCTTGGCAAAAAGCAGCACGGATGTGAGAGCGCGTGTCACGGGCGCTTGCCTGGGGAACATTCGGCGGAGCGTTTCTTACGAGGGGGTGGGCCCCCGCGCCTCCCCCACCCAACACTCGGCGCCATCGATCAAAACCAGGGGGACTCCCCTACTCCCCAAACCCTTCCCCTCCCGATCCTCCCCCCTAAAGGGGGGGGGTTCACCCCCCCCTCGGCGCCGGCACTGGCGCCAGTGCTAGCGGCCGCCAGCAGCGCCGACGGCGGCGACGCAGCGACGATGACCAGAGGCAGCCCCGGGGGGAAGGGGGGGTTCAACCCCCCCCCGGCGCCAGCGCCGGCGCCGGCGCTGGCGGCAGCCAGCAGCGCCGGCGCTGGCGCCGGCGACGGCGGGGACGCAGCGACGGTTGCCACCACTACCACCACCACCACCACTACGACCACCACCGCCTCAACCCACCACCACCACCATCCCATCACACAACCACCACCACCACTACTACCTCAGCCACCACCACCGCCGCCACCACCACCACAGCCACCACCACCACAGCCACCACCACCACAACTCACAATCATCACCACCACCACCACCACAAACACCCACCACCACTACCACCACCACCACCACAATCTACCACACCACAACCAACCACCACCACTACCAGCAGCACATCCCGCCACCACCACCACCACCACACCACCTCCACCACCAGCACCTCGTCCACGAACCGCCGCAACCACAACCCACCACCGCCACCACCACAAACTACCACCACCACGCCACCACCAAACCACGACCACCACCACCACCAACCACCACCACCACCACCACCACCACCAACAACAACAACACGACAAAAAACCACCACACCACCCCTTCCACAACCACCACCACCACCGCCACCACCACCACCACAACCCACCACCACCGTCATTCTCGTCGACGCTCCTCCCACCGCCCACCGCCGCCGCAGGCGCCGGCGCTGGCCCAGAAAAGGAAATCGTCGCGCCCGCCGCCGCCGCCAGCCGCCGCCGACGCAGGCGCTGGCCCGAGGAGAGAGGAGAGGGAGGGAGGGGGGGGGCCCGGTTCCAACCCCCGCTCCCCCCTCCAAGCGACCACAGAACGCGCTCTGATGTTTTGATAGTTTTCGGCCCCCAGGGAACAACTTCGGACCCAGGGACCGCCAACACACGGCTCGGGATGAAAACCTGGCCCTTGGAAAATGGTCCGCACACCTGAAAAGGGCCGGGACTTCGAGATGTCCTTCCTCGACCTGCTCCTGCTCCACCTCCTCCGGGTTTTCGCACATCGAGTTCCTTTCCCCAATTTGTTTGTCTGACACTGGAAGTTCGAAGGTTATCGGTCGCTGCGGATCCTTAGTGGGCGTCCCGATGCTCTTATTTGGCCTTCTACTCAAAGCATCCAGCAGATAGACAAAACCAGGGCGGCATGTTTCGTAGTCTCCACCTCCTCCTGTTCCTCCTTCCTTCCTGTCCTTCCTCCTCGTAGTCTCCACCTCCTCCTCCTCACCCCTCCTCTGCCTCCTCTCTCTGCCTCCTCCCCCCTCCTCCTCCTCGGGGTCTCAGGGTTCAGCGGGTCGACCTGGTACAAGAACCAGCTAGTGATCTGCCCAGGTTATGTGTTTTGTGACGTACGCGCGGAGACCTGCAACAGTACACCCTGCGAAATGCCTAAGAAATCATGGGTTAAGAAATTCATAGTCTCAGAAATTGACTAAAACCCAGAACTTCTATCAAAATCTTGGGATTTACATTCAAAAGTTAAGAATAATCGAGACTCTGGCCGAAACTTTAGGTTTTCTTAAGCATCGCCTAAGGTGTAGTCAATCCCAACGAGTCCTTCTCTTTATCGCCCTCCTCCTCGTCAGGCGGAGGTGGGCGACCGGAGCCCTCCGGAGACGCCTGGAAACCTCGGGAGACCGCCGAGGCGGGCCTGAGCGCTTGGGATCTCTGGCTATCTCTGGAGCCGGGGAGCGGGGGGGCCTCTGCAAAGATCTCCTCCTCGTCCTGCCTCGTCCTCGTCCGCATCCTCTTCCTCGTCCTCGTCCTCCGCTTCTTCCTCCTCGTCCTGTCCTCTAGCGTCACGAGAGCGGAGCACCCTAGCGGTGTGCCCCCCGTGACACTACTCTCTCTTTTTCGTTCCCCTCCCTCCTCCTTTTCCTACTGTGCCAGCGTCAGCCCCGTGGTCCACTGGTGGGGGCTGACGAGTCTCTGGCGCCTGGTGTTTCGGCCACCGAATCATCCCTCTTCTGTGCCCGCCACGCGCTGGGAGACTTGCGCGGCGTCGCCAATGCAGTGCGGTATCCTCGTCGTATCCTCCTTCCCTCCTCCTCCTCCCTCTCCCGCTCGGGGCGCAGGAGGCAAAACTGCCTACGCATAATCTGTCGCAGGTTCGCAAGGGTCTCTCGGATCGGCGCCGGAGCCCCCGGGCGCCCCTGAGGTCTCATAGTTCTTAAAATAAGAACATATATATATATGAGTATATAAGAACATATAGATCTTATAATAAGAACATGTATGTGCAAAATACAAGAAAACCGAAATTAGCAGCATAATGTTGCATTGAAACTGCAAGCAAGCAACATAACAGAAGAACGCACCTTTTCAATCCCGCAGCTCCGCTTGCGAATCGCACTGCGCATGGCAGATGTATTACACACGTGCAAATGCGCAAAACCTAAGCAGACGAAGGAAAGGAGATGCATCTACTCACACTGTCAAGTCCTAATTCCTCTAGCCCTTGTGTTTCATATGCAAGTCTTCCCTTTCGCCCCTGCCCACGTTCCTTTCAATCCTTGATGGCCAATGCGCTTTCGCCCCCACTTCCCCTGCCATTAATCCTAGTTGCCTGCCCTGCGCCCCCCCAAAAGGAAGATGTAACATCTACCTAGCGGATCAACCCCTGTTGCCCCGCCGCGCCCTCCTTCTGCCCAAAATCACGAGATGTCGCATCAATTGCAGGATCGACCCCAGTCCCCCCCCCCCCCCTTGCACCCACCCAAAACAAGAAAAGGCGAGGCGAGAGAGAACCTAGCGCTCGAGCACCAGGCGCCCTACCATCTCACAGAAGGCCGCAGGATATTGTTCCGACGCCTTCTGCTCGGGCTTAGTGCCAGTGACCCACTCAGCCCTCCAGCCGTTCTTCCGCGGAGCCGTGGACCGCCTGGTCTCCACCTGGGA